GCCAGTGAGTAACCCCAGGGGGGCGCCCTCTGACCCCCCCCCAGGCCCTCTGACCTCCCCCAGGCCCTCTGACCTCTGTGCCTCCCCCAGGCGCCGCACGTGCGCGGACTGCCTGTCCAACTCGAGCCAGTGCGCCTGGTGCCAGTCCACCCGCAGCTGCTTCTTTTTTGCTGCCTACCTGGCCAAGTACCCGTATGGTGGCTGCCGTGGCTGGTACGACAGGTACGGCCCTGGGGGGGTGGGCCTTGTCTCGTCAGCATGGGACTGGGGGGGGTGCAGTATGGCTGGTACAGGACTGGGGTGCTGGGTACGGGGGGAGCAGTTTATGACCAGGGGGGTTGATACAGCAGGTGTGGGACTGGGGGGGCTGGTACAGGGCTAGGGGCACTGGGTACAGATGTGGGGGTTGGGGTGGCGTAGGACCAGGAAGGCTGATACAGTAGGAATGGGGCTAGGGGGGTGGTAGGTGACCTGGGGTGCACCGGGTATAGTTGGGGGGTCAGACTGTGGGGCCAAGTAGGACCAGGTTTATGGTTACGTGGGTTGATGCAGCAGGTATGGGACTGAGGGCACCGGTAGGAAACTGGGGGCGCTAGTTACAGGTGGTTGGGGAATCATAGGACATGGGGGGCTGGTATGGGACTGGGGGCACTGGGTGCAGATGCGGGGGGCAGTGTAGGATAGGAGGGGCTGATAGAGCAGGTGTGCAACTGGGGGGCACCAGGTACACACTGGGGGTTAGTTTATGATCAAGGGGGCTGGTATGGCTGGTACAGGACTGGGGGCATTGGGCATAGAGTGTGGGGTAGTGTATGATCAGGGGGACTGATACAGCAGGTATGGGATTGGGGAGCCCATATGGCTGTAGGGCACTAGGGGTACCAGTTATAGAGGGTGGGGTAAGTAGGACCAGGGGGCCTAATGCATCGTGTGTGAGACGAGGCATCAGGTGCAGATGAGGGGGGTGAGTGGGACAAGGATTAGGGGGGCTGATCCAGCAGGTGTGGGACTGGGGGGCCCAGTGTAGGACAGGGGGGCTGATGCAACGTGTGGGGGGGGCAGGTTGAGGGCTGGAGGAGCACATATGGCACTGGGGGGCTGGGTTCTTCTGGATGTCTGGGTTCCCTGACCCTTGTCTCCCGCAGTGTGCACTCGGTGCCGCAGTGTCTGGACTGCGGGCGCTTCAACACCTGCCGTGAGTGCCTGCAACACCTGGAGTGTGGCTGGTGTGGCGACGCCGACAACCCCACGCTGGGCAGGTAGGGGCCCCGATTCTGGGGGGACAGGATGGGGCAGGGCCCGAGCTGTGACCCTGTGCCCTCCACCTTACCACAGGTGCCTGCCCGGGGACTTCTCGGGGCTGCGCGGCTTCGCCAACTGCTCGGACGCACTGGGGACTCCCCCCGGGCCGGGGCCCCCCCCTCGCTGGGCCTATGGACGCTGCCCCGACGTGGACGAGTGCCGCCTGGGCCTGGCACGGTGCCATCCAGCTGCCGCCTGCCGCAACACTCCTGATGCCTTTGAGTGCCGCTGCCGGCGTGGCTATGCCGGAGATGGCCTCACCCACTGCAACCGCACGTGAGCAGGGCCTGGACCCCTGGGTTCACAGGGCGCTAGGGGTCTCAGGGTGAGAGCGGAGGGAGCTGGGAGCCCAGATACCTGGGTTCATGGGACACTGGGGATGTAGGAGGTCAGAGCAGAGGGGTTGGGAGCCGAGACGCCTGGGTTTTCTGGGCATTGCGGGTCTTGGGGGTGAGAGTGGGGAGAGCTGGGAGCCTGCACACCTGGGTTCTCTGGGCACTGAGGGTTTAGGAGGTGAGTGGTGGGGGATCGGGAGCCCAGACATCTGGGATCTCTGGGGAGGGAGAGAGGGTTGGGGGTTAGAGCAGGGCCTGGGGCGCGGATGCCTGGGTTCTCTCACCCCCACCTCCCCCCAGGTGCTATGACGACTGTGGGCATGGGCGCTGCAGCGGGTCCCCCAACTTCACCTGCGTGTGCGACCTGGGCTGGACATCGACGCCAGGTGCAGGGGGGGCCGAGGGAGGGAGCGCACGCTGCACCGTGGACTGCGGCTGTCACTTCCACAGCTCCTGCGAGGCTGCCGGTCCTGGTGTCTGCGACCAGTGCCAGAGTGAGCCCCCACCTAACCCCCGTGGCCGCGGCCCTGCCCTCCCGCCCAGCGCTGACCCCCTACCCGCCCACAGACTGGACGCAGGGGCCACGCTGTGAGCGGTGCCGCCCTGGCAGCTTCGGGGACGCAATGGGTGCAGGCGGCTGCCGCGAGTGCCGGTGCCACGGCCACGGGCGCCCGGAGCTGGGCCACTGCCATGCAACCACTGGTGCCTGCTTCTGTGCCCCCCCCACCGAGGGCCCCCACTGCGAACGCTGCGCCCCCGGTTTCTACGGGGACCCTAGGTGAGAGACCCTCCCCCACCATGGGCCACCAGGCACCCCCCTGCCCGGGCCTGAGACCCTCCTTCCGGCAGGGGGACTGATCTCCCTGCGGACAGACACCCCCCCCCCACCCAACTCCTGGACAGACAGCCCCACCATGGGAGTCATGGGTGGGGGGGGGGGTCTTCCCTTCCCCCTACTGTCACCACCTCTCCATGTGTTGCAGGGACGGGGGCACGTGCTACCGGGAGTGTGCGGGGCGTGAGCTGCTGGGAAACCTGTCGGGGGCAGCAGCGCTGGGGTCGTGGCGCGCAGGGGGAGCACCGGAGGGGGGCCTGGCCTTCTGTGTCTGGGTGCTGGCGGCCACCCCAGGCCCCCAGCCCTGTGCCCCTGCGCCTGAGCCCGCCCCACCTCGGCCCTGCCCCGCCATCAGTCTCCACATCCAGCCTGACCTGCAGGGACCCTGCTCTGTGAGTGTGGGGTCAGGGGTCATGGAGGGATGGAGACCCTGCTCTGTGATTTCAGGGATTGGGGGCAGGGGGTGGGGCAATGAGCGAGGCCTCATTAGCAATGGCCCTCCTAGTGGGGCTGCGGGAGATGGGGTGCTGGTGGGCTCGGACATCTGGGGTCTCTCCTCACTGCTGCAGGGACGCGGGGAGGAGGTTTGGGAGCCTGGAGGCCTGGGTTCTCCGCAGCTTTGGGAGAGCAAATGGCCTGACTGGGTGTGGGGTTGGAGTCCCGGACACCTGGGTTCTCTTCCCCCTTTGGCTGCTTTCTCTTTGGGGTGGGGAGTCTGGTCAGGGGATGCCAGGCGGCCGGGGGGTCCTGGAGAGGGGCAGCCCCTGCCATGACCCCCGTGTCCTGGCCTCCAGAGCAGCTACGTGTATGCCTTTGATGGGGTTCCAGCCTTCCTCGATTCGGGGGTCATCCAGGCTGACCGCACCCTCATTGGGGCCTTCTGCGGCCGTGGCCGCGACCAGCCCCTGGTCCTGGAGGCCCATTCAGGTGGGTACCTCCCCCCACAAGCCCCCTCCCCTCTTTGGAGCCACCCCCACAATCTCTGCCTTCCCCCAGGTGTGCTGGTGCTGTACTATGAGGCCAATGTGACAGCAGAGGAGGGCGACCCCCCTGTGCCCCTGCCCGGGTTTAATGCCACAGCCTGGGTGCGGGACTGCGCCCCCCCTGGCTGCGGGCCGGGCCGCGATTGCCGCGCCGGGCGCTGCATGTGCCATGAGGGCCGTGCCGGCCCTGACTGCCAGCGCCTCGTCTGCCCTGGGGACTGTGGTGCCCCCGCCGGCCGTGGTGCCTGCAACACTGTGAGTCCTGGCAGGGCTGGTACAGGGCATTGTGGAATACCAGGGCTCAGTTGTGGGGGGTCTGGCACAGGGTGTTGTGGGATGCAGGGGGAGTTAGGGGCCTGCAAGGCTGAGTCATGGGAGGCTGGTATGGGACATTGTTGGATACAGGGGGGTTGGGGGCTGCAAGTCTGAGTCGGGGGCTGGTGTGGGGCATTATGGGATACAGAGGGTGCAGAGGCTGGCAGTTGCCTGCAAGTTGGAGGCTACAGGCCCTGGGGTGGGGGTGGTCCCTGCCAGCTCTCATCCCCACCTCAACCTCTCACTAGAGCCTGGGCCTGTGTGTGTGCCGTGACGGCTTTGCAGGCCCCGACTGCGCCGTGACCCTTGACCCCGGCCACATCGTCTGGGAGACACTGGTGGACGCTGAGCTGACAGCCGTGAGTGCCCCCCCCCATTGCCCAGCCCCCCCCACATCCGGGGGGGGTGCTGATGGCATGTGTACCCCCC